CCATCCAGCATTTACATCAAATTATTATTCCTATAGCTATGCATTAACATGGTAGTTATCCTCTGAACAGTTTCCTACAACCAGTGACCTGGATAATCCCATTTTATTGATTAAATAAATAAGAATTTTATTTAATATTTTATTTAACTTAGAGGTATGACAAATGGTTTTACAATTCTCCTCTTGACACACCACATTAAAGGGGAAATATTCAGAACACTGTCATTTCTATTACCACAGGACATTAAAAACAGCCTCCTCCTTTTATTTCTGGTCCTTAGATTGACAAGAACAGCTAAAAGCTTTCAGTGCACTTTTCTTGCTCAGAAAGTGTGGCTGTGAGCATATCTCGGCTCTCAAGAACATTAATGGTTTCTTTTTCCTGTCCGATCTATACTGACAGGTCACATTCAACAGAAAGCCATGGCAGTTAAACTGAGGTAAGCAGTGTTGGAGTAATTCATTAAAGTTTTCCCTCAGCAATACCATACAATGACACTACCTGAAAGTGTTCTTTCTTTCTTTAAATTGTTAATGGCTGCCTTGAGATTTAAGTGATTCAAGAAAAGTCTGACCTAAAAGAGTAAAGACGGTCAAATAAATCACAGGATTTTCATACATTCTTTTAAATAAACTCTGGGTTTTACAGTTTTGAGGAAAAACTGCACATGGCATTCTGTTTGACATGTGAGTTTTACAATTGCAAACTGATTCCTAGCATAATCTTGGAAGAGCTGAATGGGCTGGATATACATTAAACAACTCAGCCTTTGTCATCAGTATTACTCTTTTTTTCTCTTCTTGAAAGTTTCAACCAATAAGGCGCTTTGGGATTTGGGCTACACCGAGAAGACTCGCCTCAGCACATTAACACAATTCAAATGTTCAGTAAGCGGTAATCCTTTCGCTTGTTATAGCAAACAGGACCAAACCTCTGTGCGGAGGGCAGATTGTGAACTGGAAGGGCAGCTGTATTGAGGGATTGGGATTAAAGGGGATGTGAGGCTGTAGCTAACGTCTCACTAGCTTGCTGAGATGGCCAAAGAAGTCAGACAAACCTCTCTCTCTCCTTGTTCATTAGTGATCTCTTGTTCATTAGAGTCCTCGGCTTCCTTTCATGTCCTCTCAGGGCTCATGAGGATGAATGGCCCGCATCTGAATTACACTGAGACTCAGAGACTGGGCTGCTCTCTGATTGGAATGGTTGAAACAAGTTCAGTTTGGCCTATCTATCCTATATTTTTGAGTCTCTTATGCTCACCAAGGCTGCATTTATTTGATAAAAATGCAAAATACAAAAAAAAAAAAAAAACTGTAATATTGGGAAATATGATTACAATTTAAATGAACTGTTTACAATTTTAATATATTTTAAAATACAATTCTGCAATGGCGATACCAAATTTTTGGCATTCAAGAAACATGTCTTATTACTATGACAGCTGAAAACGGTGGTGCTGCTTAATATTTTATACTTTTTTTTTTTTGTGGAAACCTTGATAATTTTGTTCTTTCTTTTTTTTCAGATTCCTGTATGAATAGAACGACTAAAAATGAAATAACCTCAAACCTTTGAATTTTTTTCTTTGAAGTGACTAAAGGCTGTGCTGTAGCATGAATATAGTCACAGCTAAAGGATCAGCAGCCATTCAGCTGTGAATCTTGCCTAACATTGACCTTTAGTCGTGACTATTCACAAGAAAAGCATTGGTCTTTCACATGGTATTGTAGTATAACAGTCTACATCTCATTTATCGCAAGACCTGTTCATATCATAACATCCTACTTCAGTAAAAAAAAAAAAAAGACACACACACACACACAAAACCTTATCCCTGGTATGGGAACTAGTAACACTCATACCTGATTTAATAATCACAACTAACGATCTTGTAACCGATAATGGCCAGAATTTTATATCGGCACATCCTTACCAAATAGTTCATAAATTATCTCCTGAGGTGGAGCTAAAATTTTATGAATTTATCAATATGAAAATATCACACTGAAATTTTTGGTGATTTTCTTGCCATATTAAAACTGAATGATCTTCTCCTGCTGTTTGATTTAATCTCCTGCCAGACATCAGAAACTGACCAAATAAAATAGGACTTAACTGCCTCACTACTGCTGAGGGAATTTCCAAAGCAAACACTGTAACTGTGAGAAATAAGACAAGCACAGATGAACGTTACAGGTCTGAGATGAAGCCCACCTCGTTGACACAGAAAACTTCAGCAAATGTGATACAGACCACAGGTCAGTGCATAAGAGAAAGAAAACGGGTAGATGAAGATAACAGATGTGCAATCAGCTCACTGCAGAGCATTTTGGGAAAATAAGCTGTAGAGCGTGGATACTGAATATTCTGCCTGACAAGATTATGGTAAAGAGGTGCACCACTGATTTTGACTTTCAGATGTAATGTTGTAGTCATGTTTTCCCGCATAATGTTTGACTTTAATGTTTACGTGCTAATAATATTGGTAACTTTTTACAATAAAATTCCATTTGTTTACATTAGTTTCATTAGTTAACAAGAACAATGGAAATTACAGCATTTTTTAATCTTTGTTAATGTTAATTTCAGAATTTACCTATACATTATTAAAATCAAAATTTCTATCTGTTAATATGTTTTAATGCACCTGAGCTAACTTAAGAACAGCTGCATTTTTATTAATTAGTTATCAGAGTGACATCATGAGAGAAAGAAGATATTTTTCAGATTTTAATAAAATATTTTAATGAAATTTTTCGGTGGAATAACTTTGGCACAGATGTGTGCTAACAAAGTAAATAGTGTCAATTTTGATTTCATGTGGGCTTTAACTATTGGTGCCTTATTGTAAAATGTTGTGTTCGCTGTTTGGCTTATAATTTTTTGCATATAAAATGCCCTATAATCCAATACTTAGACTGTGAGTTTTATTTGGTTAGCTTGGCTGATAGAAAAGTATATCCTTTGGAAAATTAAATTACAGCGCATTAGACATTCTGGGATTATGGCTTACATTAACCTTGAAAAGTGGTTTTAATGTAATGGTAATTTTTCACTTCAGGTAATGGGAACGTCAAAGGCTCAATCATGGGATACTTCTTGAAAATCTGTTGGCTCTGGATTGCTGCTGGGCTGCTCAACAATGACCATTTACCAGAAAGCTTCAAAAATAATAATAATAAAAAAAAAATCTAAATCTAAAGCATATTTTTGCTCAGCTCTGCTGTTCACTTTGGCCTGCTGGAAATAAGTATGTATGTGTGATTGTGAGTTTTTCGAGGAGGTGGGGTGTGTTGACTATTAACAGTCGATGTAGGGTCCACTCTAATGAGAATGTAACCTGCTGTTGAAAAGGCCTTACATCCACACTTCATTAACTCCGCAACCCAATTACACATTGCACTCTGATAGGTCAAACCCCCACTGCCTCATTTACATAATAACTCAATGGATACTGGGATGGGAACATGCTCAAAGAGAAAGGTCTGGCTGTTACACACAACCATACACACACACCATGTCTAAGGCTAAATTACAAGTATTTAAAAAAAAAAATTTAACTATAAAATATTTAACCATGTTTTGTTAAAGGATTAGGTCATCCAAAAATGAAATCTGTCATCATTTACTTACTGACATGTTGTTCCAAACCTGGAATCTACTTGTTACATTTAACTAACATTTTGAATGTAAATTAAATAAAAAATTAAATTACACAATTATTACAACACCTTAAAGGGATAGTTCAACCAAAAATGAAAATTCTATCATTAATTACTCACCCTCATATCGTCCGTCTCGTCATTCGTCTCCTTCGCGTCACCCTATAGCGCCATTTTGGAGAGTATCACATACGTAAACAACGTGCGACGTATGTATGCAGATACGTTGTTTACATCCGCATACATACATTGCATACGTTGTTTACGTATGTGATACTCTCCAAAATGGCGCTAGGGTGACACGGAAGAGACGAATTGTTGAATAAAGTCATTATTTTTGTTTTCTTTGCGCACAAAAATATTCTCGTAGCTTCGTAAAATTACGGTTGAACCACTGATGTCACATGGATTATTTTAACGATCTCCTTGCTACGTTTCTGAGCCTTGATCGTGTTAGGATCCTTGCTGTCTATGGGAAGGTCAGAGAGTTCTCGGAATTCATCAAACATATTTGTGTTCTGAAAATGCAGTTTTATTCATGAGTTTGGAAAGTGATTTATTTATTTGAATTTCTATTGTTACATATAATTACATTTTTTTAAACATCAATTAAACTGTTTCAGAAATGTCTATTTATTAGTCAATTTGAAAAGTGATTAACATTTTTTTCTGGAATTAATACATTAATAATGTTTAATTTTTTTAATAGAAACTTTCTAAAAAATTGCCCCTTCCATTGAAGCTCTAATTTCATTAGTGCTCAGATTCTAAAATGACACGTCAAAATGCCATTTCTGGTTTCTGAGAAGGGGATGCAGTGAAGTTTTTCAAGCAAATAATGATATAATGTCCTTCTATTTCTCATAAAAAGCTATCTTTTGGGCTTTAGAAGACTGCAGCACACAAGCCACAAGAAATACACTATGAACTGTGATAATAAGGAAAAGAACTGTGTGAAGATGCTTCCGAACGAACTATTGAATGAATGAATGAATGAATAAATACATACATACACAGCATAAGGGTTTAGAATGGAAATGGGAGTCAGTAAATAATGACGGAAGTTTATTTTTGAGTGAATTATGCCTTTAAATGACCAAAATAGTGAAGGTCCGTCTAGGACTGATAAAATTCTACCAATCTATTCCTTTTTAAATACTTTGACGCATTTCTGCAACACGGTCAATTTTTCCAATATAGTGTTTTCTGATTTCCATAAAGCTCATAATTTTCTGGTAATTCCATTGCTTACCGAAGTCAGAGCAGAAAACCCAAGGCAATAAATGAATCAGGCAAACAGAGAGTGAGGAAACCAGAAGGCTCAGAAGCACACTTACCTCTATGACTTGAAAGATAGCAGGCAGGAGACTGCTCTCTCTAACAAGCCTGTTGGGGGAAACACACACACAAATACACACATTTAGCTTGTGACACACACATTTACTTCATGGCACTAGGTCCACGTTCCATCTTCATTAGTGTGACACTTGTGCATGCATTTGGGTTTTGGCACTGAACGGGACCGCTGAGGTGTGAACGCTCCATCGTGCCAAGATCAGTCAGCTGGGAAAATGACCTTTGACTAATCCAGTGACGAGTGAAAAAGAAAGAGAAGGCATGCCGCTGAAAGGATGAAAGAGTGAGAGAATGATGGAGGGAGAAAGTCGGATGGAAAACACACAACAACGTATTAAGAATGAGAAATAGAGGACCCGTGTATGCAAACCTAGTGAGCTGCCTAGCTAAAAAGCATTTTTGGAAATCACCGAACAAGATTATTAGATTATAATGCTCAAAAATATTGTCAAGAGGGAGGCTCCATCAGGCTCAAATGTTTAAACATGCTTATGATGCCCAAAAAGCTGTGGTTGCCAGAAATTCACCATAACCGTGCAGTGATACTGTTTCAGGTATTATGGGATGTCGTATTGATGCCTGTATGTTTTACAAATTTCATTAAGCGATATAATGTTAATATACCATGTAACTTTTTTTTTTTTAAATGGACTGGTAACAGCCATAATAATAAAAAATGGTTGTAAAATAGAAAGCCACATGATAAATCAAGGTGACTGTAAATGGTCTGTCCACACAAAGAAAAAAAAGAAAAAATCAAGGTAACAAATAAAGTAATACAATAAACATTAACTAATTAGCAGTAAATGTAACACAAAAGACCTAAGGTACATTACTGATAACAAACAAATAAAAACAAAAATAAATAAAATTATTTTAGTGTTTCCCACTCTAATGACATGGTAGTTACTAGTTTTTATATGCAAAACCATGCATTTGACAGTATTTTATAATACATGCCCAAAAATGCTGTTTATGAAGGCAGTTCACTTTTTGAAATAAACATTCAAATGTGACTATGACTGCCAAAAGTAACTTTACAGATAGGCAGCTCACTAGGTTCAGAACATTTGAATTGATTGTTTGATGTGTCTACTGTGTCTAAAAAGACTGTTTAGGTAGACCGTTTACTAGGTCTGAATACTTGAACATCTAAAAAAAATGCTATGTAGGACGTTCAAGTTCAAATTGTATGAAAGAAACATTTGAACGGTACTATAATGGACAAAAATGCTGTCTCATTTGAATCAAATGTTTGAAAGTGTGTGGTTACTAAAATGCACTTATTTAGTTTATTAAATCAAATATTCAAATACGCTTACAGCTACAAAATGATGACTAGGTAGGCAGTTCACTAAAGTTTAAATCATTTAAATAGAATGTACATACGTGTCTATATGATGCATGAAACTGCTGACATGGTAGACAGCTCACTAGGTTTGTATGTAATTATGATGTCCAAAACAGCTGACTATGCTGGCTACCCACTAGACTACTCACTTCAAAAACATCTTGGTAGACAGTCCATTTGGTCTGAATGTAATGTCTGAAATGCCCAAAATTTTGTCTAGGTAGGCAACTCACAAGGTGTTGAAACACAGACAGAAAATGCTCCAGACAGCCTGGCTCAGAGGAATAATGGAGGCCTTTATTGAAAATGACTCGTCATGCTCTCTTATTGATTAAGGTCTTTGATTCACAGCCAATTACCGTATGAAAAAGGTGTGTAGAGAAGAATGCCACAATAATCTGAGAAAAGGACACACTGATAAAAATGAAATTAGCTAAAGGCTTACATTTGGAATACTTACTGTGCCCTTCCCAGTCAATAGTGATATATGACATAGCGCTATAGAGTTATTTGGCCATTCTCCCCTGAGTGTGTCCTTTATGGAGGATATGGTTTCTTTGAATGAGAAAGAGTGAGAACTGCCCAGAACCTGAGATAAGGTGAATGCGGAGGTCTATATGAGTAAATCTCCGTTATATGAACCCAAAGCCACAGGTAGAGAAATAATTATCCTCTTTGTGCCTGAAAGTCAGCACAGCTCAAAACCTGGGATTTAGGGATTTTTTTTTAGGTTAAAACAGGGTTTACTGTGCCAAAATAATTGTGTATTTTGAAGGAATTGGGCAAAACTAATCAACACAACCAGAAACAGGAACAACAATGATCTTTTGATAGTCAAAGAACTAATGAAATTAGCTTTGCATTGATTTAATCAAAAATACAGTAAAAAGTAATTTAAAAAAATAATAATTTTATTAGAACTTCAGTCTCACATGATCCTTCAGAAATCAATCATTTTAATATGCTGATTTAGTGCTTATATTTTTTTATTATTTTCAGTTGAAAACTGCTATATTGCAAGATATTTTTATTTGAATTCTTTGATGGCTAGAAACTAAGTCATATATTTGTGAGGGTGTTTGTGTGTAAGTACCTGGTATTTTCTATATTATGGGGACCAAATGACCCTACAATTTTAGTAATACCTTGTTTAGCAAGACCTTGTGGGGACATTTGAGGAAGTCTATGGGGTCTTATGAGGAAACAAGCTTATAAATCATACAGAAGGAAGTTTTGTGATAATCTAAAATGCAGAAGTGTGAACGACCCGTTACTAAACAAAAGTCATTAAAAGAAAAATGCAGGGCTCTACGCTTACTTTTCTTTTTAGGAGCACTTGTGCTGTGGTGTATTTTCAGACATTTAATGAGGCTCAGAGGTGGCATGAGTGCAATTAAATCCATAAATTCATGTTGAGATTAATGTTTTAAATATAACATTTTGAATATAGAAATATTACATGATTTAAATAACTGAAAAGATACTTTAAAAATGAAACTGAAACTAAAACTGCCAGCAGGTGGCGGCAAGTCACTGATTTTATGACTGAATCATTGATTCAATTGATTCTATGAATCACTTAATGTAGGCTACAAGCAATGTATGTACAGTAATGTACACTGTTAGACATTTCTGTAATTTCTACAGTTATTTACTGTATATCCCCCAGTACAATACTGCAAATTCCATTTACAGTAAGTAACTGTAATACCCTTCGCATCATGGGAATTTTATGTGACGTCAAACTCCACATACAGTGACTTACTGTATTTTTAAAAATTGCTGTATACTACTGTATTTGCCGTAACGGCCTCTGTGGCACCATTCCATTGAGGTTGTTTTATTTTCCTCACTTCTTACATTTGGATTGACAAGATTTGTCCTGCACCGTGTCTACAACGCCGCAACAGCTTGGGACAGATTATACTGGACGTGTTACATCGCTTGTAATGATTGGCAAATATGTTTTGTACGTCAAAAAAACTGTACGTCAGAAATATACCGGGGCATCACTTTACTGTCCGCATCCATTGTAGATAGTATCGCTGATTATAATGGGTTCTATATTGTCTTTTGTCGCGTCGCGCTGTGCTGCTCGCATCCGAGGAAGACACAGAACCCATGGGGCAGCGCCGCGGGTTTTTGCCGGGGATGAACCCGCAAGAGCGGAAGAGTTCCGGAGAACATCTGCGCTGTGTATCGATGCACCTTACGAGAGAATAAGACCAGCAAGCAAGGTAAAATATATGTCTGTCTGTGTGTGTGTTTTGTCAGAGTTTTGCACACCAGTTAACAAATTACCCGTTAACATTGAGGTAACTTTACCAAGGTAAACTGCGTTGTCCTTTCAAACGACTTTGTCAGCATATTGAATTAACGTACCAAATTAAAATGATTTTTAACGAGCAACGCTTATCTTATATTAACATTAAGTTAACTAATGTGAAATTTTGTTCAGGTGTTAGTTAATGTTGGCCAGTAGCCTATTGAGAAAATAAAACCATGTGTTAGCAAGGTTAAACTAGTTTTATGGCTATCTGCCTTAGTTTTAGAATTAGTTTGTTATAGTTTTTAAGGGAATTTAAGTTTTACTGCATTTTTTTGTATTTGTGTTTTAAAGGCAGCTGCAATGAAGCATCAAGAAAGACATGAGCATGCCAACCACCCTGAGACTGATAATTCAGGTAAGAGAACAAATATGGTTTTGAGAGGTTTGTGTATTCTATATGGGGTTTGCCTATGGAGAAGTGTGTCATTTCTACTTTTTGTTTTTCAGGGAACACATTTCTGTTACTAACAAAGTGGATGGTGAGCAAAGGTGGTGGCCACGTTTTGGAGCAGCACCTGGGTTTTGCAGACGGCTATGTATTTATTTTCCCATTATGTTTTTGTTGCCTATAGATTCTTTGTGAGGATAAATCCAGAGAATACAACATAATGCACTGCAAAATGTC